ATATATATATATATATATATATATAACTAGACGAACCTTGTGGTTGTACGGCAGTGAAGCATCAGTCCCAACACTGATGTTGCTGTCTTTGATGATGAAACACGGACCTTCCGGTCAGTAAATTCTCGCTGTAACCACCTGAGCCATCTCGCCCTCATATGTGGACTACATTTTTGCGGACACAGTACGTCTTGAGAAAAAATGAAAACAGCGATCGAAGATAGGCTTTGGTCACTGTACAAATCCGGTAGTAATGACAGTATTAGTATCTAAAACGAAAAGACGTGCAGAAAAAATAGGCGAAATATCAGGTGGTATCTAGCACAAAAATCCATCACACACTGCATACTGAAGTAAGTGCTGCGGACCAAACACAACAGTGTGACTCATAAAATTCTGTTCAAAAAGTTTCTGAAAGTAAAAATCCTGGCATTCGAATTTCACAGACACTTTATTTCACACTTGCCAGTTACTGTATAGTGTAGGCCTGGCGTCAACTTGGCGTGGATACTGTATTCACAATCCCTTTCCTTTGACTATTCCTTTTCGGAGTGAGGATTCCGATACCCACTGCTTTTTCCTTGTTTGATCTGTTGATTGCTTTTTTTCGATTCTGTTTCATCACTGCACAGGTCAATGATGATCTAAAGCGACTATTAGTTTCTGCCCTGGCGGGAAATTCTGACTTGGCCGACAAATTCGTAGATCTGACCTCGGACAATGCAAATCTTTCTGGTCGCAGTCAGGATTTGGCTGCACAAAAGGCTGTCCTGGCGGAAGCTGCGAGTACTGCGGAAATAGCGGCAGACGTCTGGCGCGCCAAATGCCTCGCTGGACGTGTTGTCGCCACGGAAGCTGCTAGACGACTTACTTTGGCTAACCGACAGACACAACTTACACGACATGCTTTGGCTCATCTTTTGGGTGAGAGAGCCCGAATTCGATTGCAGCTTGGACAAGCTGCAGGCTCGCTTCTCTCCATCTGCAGCCAGAAGTCCCCCGGTACAGTGGGCGCTCCAGTTCCCTGGGACACTCTCAGTCTGGCGTCACTATGTAACCACCTTGCCGCTCAGTTGCAGTCACTTGACCTGACCGGATGTTGCTCAAATCCGGTTCTCTGTCAGTCCGATACTCCTGGAGAACTTTTGGCGATGCGAGTGAGTTTCTACCTTTTCACGTGCTAGCTTCTTACAAACGTCGATTTGGTGTAAACATTAATTCGGTATGGTCACACTTTTGTTCTCTCTCACTTTGTTTCGTGTTGTGGGACTTTTTGGAACAAAGCAGGACATGATCAGGTCTTCTGAAACGGTTACTCTTTTTCACGAACCGGCCCTTACGACTTGTTGTGACTGTTCTGTTGGCACCATTATCACGCGGAAGATGACCTGCTTCGGATTTAGAAAATTGGTAACCATTTGAGTTAAATATTTATGAGAGTCCTAATGCCGTTAAGATGCGGGTTTTAGAAAGCGACACACTACGCGTGATCACATCGATTGGTTCATGAAGACATCACACAGTTGGTGAAATTCGGTGTGTGGTATTTGGGCTTGAGAGCTTCTGAACATAAAGCGCTTCCTTCACAAGTCATAAGTCGGGGAAAAACGAAGCTACTGTACAAATTGGAAGAGCAATACAGTGGTTCCCTGGAAGGTTTTTACGTGGAAGGGGATATTTTGCCTCTTTTAGGAGAGCTCTCACACCAGTTCTTTGTTGACGGAGAACACTGACGAGGTTGTACCGTCAGGGAGAAACGGATGGGGTTTGGAGTGTGAGCGCATCTGACTATATGCACGTCATATACTGGATAGAAACTGATTCTAGTGCCTTCATTGCAGTTGAATCGTAAGGCATTGTTCTCTGACACCATCTGTCAATGGATGATCGGACGCTGGCATATTTCTTGAGGACTAAGCCGACTATCCTCCTGGGCGACTTTGCTTTGACTACGCCTCCACTTTATCAGTGGTGGTTGAACACCACTATGGTTACCAACTGCAATGATTGTTTTCATACCCAGAGCCTGTCTTCGGTTCCTTCGATCGTCACATTTTGTGACATTGTCTGTCGATCAAAAGTTTTTTGCTGAACTCTAGCAACACTGCACGTCACCTATGAACACGCATGGGACTACGGCTTACCCTTACTCGAATTCATTTCCTTGGCTGATGTCGCCCTTACCATTTTCGTTATGAATCCTCTCTGAGATAAATCACAATGGCATGCACCATCCAGTGTAAAGTTCCGCGCAGGTGGCGAGATGACCCAAGTGGTTAGAGTGCGAATTTACTGACTGGAAGGTCCGTGGTTCGAACCCGACCTCTTCCTCTCGACTTCCACTTTCTAGGCTTGGACAACCCGGCAGTATCCCAGCCCTCGTGCAACCTTTGGGTGGCATGGCAGTTAGGCACCGAAAGGGTAATAGAGGTGAACGATTTGTTAACGCGCAGGTGTAGCTGATATGTCGCCAGTTTCGCATAGTTTCCGTAAGGCCATGTAGTCATGGCCGAGTCAATGACTGTCTGTGGTGTTAGAGATAAATTAGAAAGACCGGCTGAACTCATCTCTCCAAACAAACTTTTCGCATCATGAACTCAGGGACCTTGAAACTCTCAGGGCTTTCTTCACCGCAAGTAGAAAGGTTTCATTAAATGGAATGTTCTACAATGACCTATTTATGCAGAGTGGAGCGAGTCTGAATGTGAATCTCATATTGGTCGGTACTTCCAAATTGTAGGTTGGGTCACATTGTTTGCTTATGCCCCTCTGCTTGAGTCTTCCTTCATCGTAGCTTCAATAGCCCCGGTGTACCGATGTCTCACCTCTGAAAACTGATTGGGTTTAGATTTTGCTGTCAAACAACAGACAGTCGATGTTGTGTTACTGTAAGCGGAACGCTTTGGTCTTCGTAATCTGATTATTCAATAGGTGTGAATGAGAGTACGCAAATCTAGCTTTGTTCATTGCAATACCAAGACGAAATTCGAAGTAAACACGGTAGTAAGTGCTAACGAGAAGGCAAATATCCTTCAGTTCCAATATCAACACCTTTTTTGGTTCTTAGCTGCACTGCCACTTGAACGGGGCGTGATGGCTGAGGAACTATCAGATTGCGCAAGCCTAGACAGGAGCGGCTGTGTAGGAATTAGCTAAAACCACGAGCTTTCATGAGTAAGTTCGCGTCTTAACCACTGAGCTACCTCGAGCTCAATACCATTCATTGGGTCTCGAATCATGGGCCTGTTGCTGTTATCTGAGTTGTCACAGACGCACAAGTACACTCAGACTCCACACCACACCTTTGCTTATGTACTCAGTGGTTAGCGTCTGAGTGAGTGGACCCGTCATGTGACTAGTTTGATGGATCCCGGGGTTGGGGCGCAAACCTACTGACCTGAAGGTCCGTGTTTTGAACCTAACCCCTGCTTGTCGACCGCTCCTGTCTGGGCTGGGGTAAATTGGTAGCATCTCAGCATCGTGCTTCAATTTGGTAGCGTGACAGCTAGGCCCCGGAAGGGTGCTACAGCTGAATGGTTTTTCCGCATGCCTTTACTGCTCGTGGATCATGAATCCAGCTCGTTCGCTGTAATTCCCTAATATTCGGTGGTCTTCCAGAATTCTATCAGATATCCAGTTGGCCATTTCTGGAGTTCACACTGTCGCACTGACCGCGCTGCATGTTCTATCTGAAGATTCTGAGTACGATGGGCACTTGACTCTCCGCATGGATGGGAACTTGTTCGTGCTCAAAGTTCACCCATTTCGTGGACATGATACTCTGTGAAAACGAAATGTTATCCTATTGAGATTCGGTGGCTGAGATTATAAATTTCCACTATTTCTGTTTACAGTTGCTAGGCCAGCGTCCGTCTTATAGTCCCATTTTGGGGTTAGTAAAGAAGTCAGCCGTACACTGTATACATACCCGTATATGTTTGAAAACGTGTTCGCATCCTTGGGCCGAATTTTGAGGGTCTCAAGGAGCAGGTCCATCAGATGTTGACATGTTAGGGACGAGATGGCTCAAGTGGTTAGAGCGCGAGTTTACTGACCGAAAGGTCCGTGGTTCAAACTCGACCTCTGTCTCTCGACTTCCCCTGTCTAGGCTTGGGCAATCTGGCAGTATCCCAGCCCTCGTACTTCCTTCGGGTGGCATGGCAGCTAGGCACCGGAAGGGAAGGGTGTTAGAACGACTTTTTTTACGATGTTGACATGTGTTTCCCATCTTTTGCATAATATTTCATTAATGTTGCTGGTTTGTTTTTTTGTTTTGTACGAGTAATTAGCATGTTCCAGAATTCTGTGATCGATCCAGACGAGCTGGTGCATTGAGAAGAACCACTAATTAAGAACTGTAAAAATTTTCAATACCTCCATGTCAACATGTCTTCCTTGTGCACAACTTCTATGAGAAGGCCATTCGTCTAGTAAGGAATGGCATCCGTTCTCGTGGCTTTGCGGTCGCAAAGCCTCATTATCACCGTACGCAGTGAAATGAGGATTCTTTTTCTTGATTAGGGTTGAATACAGACAAGCTTGTAGTGGAAGCTGTCACGTGCACTGACATTTCGATTACAGCTGGGAGGTTTCTCTCGTGGTATTAGGGGCAAACATTATAAGGGGGATACGGGGGACACCAAATGAAAGGAAGAAGGCCTTCGCTGCGGGGTTGTTTATTAGAAAATGCCAACTGGCCGGTTACAGACCATTGGACAGGGAAGCTAAACTCTCATTTGCATCTCATTTCCAAAAACTGGACATCCGTCTTCTCCTAATCGCGTCTTCTTGAACTTTCCTGGATATTCATTGACTCCAATCATTCCTCGCTCAAATCCAAGCAAATTCCACAAAGCGACTCCACAAATTCCCCAACAGATCTCCCCTTTTCAAGAGATGCAAAGCGAAATTCCACGAACAACACATTTAGCCGGTTAAGCTGAACGCAAACCGCATGCGGTATTTACTGTTGAGCCCTGGGGTCCTTCGGCCTGGCTTAATGAATGCCGGTTGGTTGGTATCCCATGGGGATTTTCCTGTTGACACTGGTTGTACACGTGGACGCTTGTACATAACTATGGGAAAACAAACAGCTTTTCCCTGGGCCATATACACTACTGTGGATTATTTCGTGGATCCCGTGTAGACCGGAATCAATAGGATCGGCAGGTCAATTCGCCGAGGCATGTTGGCAAGCACCCACAGGCCTACGAATGGTGGCATGAGCGCTAGCACCGCACTAAACAGTGAGCTGCCAGCCTTATCCCTCAAATCCTATGCGTTTCAGTGTGACAGCACACAAGGTAATCAGATAATCAGTCAGCTGTAACACCCTTTCGGTGCTTGGCTGCCATGCCACCCGAAGGAAGCACGAGGGCTGGGATACTGCCAGATTGTCCGAGCCTAGACAGGGGAAGTCGATAGGCAGAGGTCGGGCTCGAACCACAGACCTTCCGATCAGTAAGTTCGCTCTCTAACCACTTGAGTCATCTCGCCCACAGCACACACACCGCATCTTACCACACTGATATCCGCCAACGGATGCCCCAAGACGAACCACCACTGTTATTCAGAGTAAACTGGTGGCCCAAATTCAGAATGAGCATAGTTCAATCATTTGACTTGGAGCTAGATTACTCAGACTCATCGATCGATTGTTTATGACTGCTACAGTGGTCGTGTCTCGAAAACCCAATTTCACTCATGCAGGTGCGTCCACAGGCTGCGCAGTCTCATACGTTTATCTGTTGATGGATTAGTTCAATCAGTTTGGCCAAGTACCGAGCTAGTTGATGCTATAGTTCTCCAACCGTAGACAAAATTTGCGTGAGTGCAACTCCATTCTTATGAGTTTTCACCTTTTCTTAAACTTTGAAACCCGTTTTACAATACGGAACGATTCTAGTAGCAGAACTGTACACCTGACATGTTGACGGTACTTTCGTCGTTTCGGCTGTAACACCCTTCCGGTGCCTAGCTGCCATTCTACCCGAAGAAAACGCGAGGGCTGGGATACTGCTAGGTTGCCCAAGCCTAGACAGGCAGAGGTCGGGTTCGAACCACGGACCTTTCTGTTGGTAAATTCGCGCTTGAGTCATCTCTTGACGGGAATTTACATATTGTTGAATCGTTTGAACAGGATAACAGGCTAGTTTACTTCAAGAATACTTAAATGCTTGTTCACAATTGAACACAAAACATTTTTACGTCCTGGATATGAGTCTAAAGAAACGGAGATATGGCATACTGTCACGCCCTGCGTTGTGCAAGCCACTGGACAAAAAGCTGAATTTCAAACACTGTTGTTCCTTGGACTTTAAACGAACGCACATCCACGCCGTGTATTTCAGAGTTTGCTTAGTTCTCTTTGAAGAACTGCCAGATGGTGACATTAGACGTCTCTCTGCATTGTTGTTCAAACGGTATCCTCCGAAATTCACCATGAAGTACGCCGAGTAGACCAGAAGACTAAAAGAAATCGGTTTCGTCTGCAGGATGAACTTATTTATTACGTTGCCTTCAGAGGCAACGGTTGACCGTTGAAACTACTAGTCGGGAGGTCGCAGGTTCGAGGCTTTCTGGCGATTTGTGAGGTGTGCACTGCTGATGATTCCCAATAAGAACGAAACAGCCGTGCTTCCCGGCTCTCGGCATAAATTATTAGCTTTTCACTTACAGAACAAAACGAAATGAGTTCATTCTCACGGCCCACATGTCTCGCTAGTCTTCCCAGCGTGCGGTGTGGTTTCTCATGCGTTCCTATGCACGTGAAATCGCAGCCAGTTACGTGCACAATAGGGAGCTGCGTTGGCTGGCCGAGACTCGAAATCTGACTATTTTTAGGTGGTTCGGGACGGCTTGGTGGTTAAGACGCGAGCTTACTGATCAGAAATTTCGTGGTCCGAACCCAACCTCTGCACCTCTACTTCTCTTTCGTCCTGGGCAAGTTTGCCCGCGCTTCCTGGCTCTCATTTTTCCCTGAGGTGGCATGGCAGCTACGAACCTAAGGAGTGTTGGAGCTGAGCGATTATTTGTCTTTTATTCATTTTAAGATGAGTTGGGGCGGATGAAATCATAAAACTGGGTCGCTGTAATTTGTGTTTTGTGCATCGTACACGTGTTGCTAATATTTCTTTCTTCAGAACTAACTGAACTCAGTGTTTCCGAGATGGCCGAAGTGGTTAGAGCGCGAATTTACTGACCGGGAAGGTCCAGGTTCGAAACTGATTTTCAGAATACTTTACTATTGTTTCATATCGTTGGTTCGTATGCCGGCTGTTCCAATGCCGTAAGGAGCTGTTCCTACTTTGAGCTATACCTTTTGTTGCAAGTAGTTTGCTTACATTCGAGCATGCTCTTCCTTGCTTTCCAGGTTCTCACGAACACACTTCCTGAAGAAATGCTTGTGGCTCGCGAAGGCCACCAAATACAAAACTCACAACTCCAACAGAAATCTGATCTACCTACGCTTGTACCTCCGATTACGCCATCCGACTCGAACGATCTGATCCAGAAGGCGTTGGATGCTTTCGCCTCCACGCGATTTCTCGGCTCCGATACTCCATGCATCGCCAATTGTCGTGGCTGTAGAGGAAACGTAACCGTTGTTTGAACTACACTGTCTTTCTAGCACACGACCATCGTGTTGTTACTTTCAAAAGGGGTTTCCTGTGATTCCACTGAGATTCTTCTTTTATCTCATTTCAAAACAGTGCTAAGTGGTGCGCTTCACTTGTCCTGTGACGTTTATTGTCCACTGTTTTCATGGTCTGGTATACACCACCACCGTCCATCCGTATGGTTTTGAAAACGGCACTTTCTTTGGTCACGAATCGCTTATTTATTCTGGATTGACATTTCCCACGAGTGGGCTCATGAACGAGGAGAATCTTTCGACCTTCTACCGAGTTTCACCCTTTCTTGTGTGCTTTTGTGCATCAGCGATCAAATCCTATCCGTTCCGTTGTTGTTTCCCTTTCACTGGGCCCTGGCATGTCGAACCATAACATATTATTCCATCTTTCCAATAATTTCTGTGACAGGACCCGCTGTTTTTCTTCTCATGCTATAGATCCGGAAATGCTCCCCTGTCGAGTATCTATTCCATGTTCCGGTTTTCTATGGACTGAGGTAACTGGCTCTCCGAGCAATAAGGTTGACCAACCTTCATCGCACAATCCGCGTTGTGGCATACATTGAGGCGTTTTCAGTCTCATCGGTGGTTCAGTGGTTTCGACGCAAGCTTACTGACCGGGGGGTCCGTGGTTCGAACACGACCTCCACGTCTCGACTTCCCCTGTCTAGGCTAGGACAACCTGGCAGTATCCCAGCCCTCGTTCAACTTTTGGGTGGTATGGCAGTTAGGCACCGAAAGAGTGCTACAGTCGAACAATCTCTACTGCTCCTCTAGATTTGGGTGACCTGACAATCTCTCGTCCTCCGTGCTTTCCCGGGTGGCATGGCAGCTAGGCACCGAAAGGTGCACAACAGATGAACCATCATGGTTAGCCTCGTCGGAATGAGTGTATGAGCTAATAACTAAATGACAACCAAACCATTAAAACTCCTCCGAATACGCCTTTGTAGAAAGCAAGCATCTTCGTTCTTATCAGAGATAGCAACTGCTTAATAAAATGAAAGTAATTCAATGTGTATTTTGCAAACGACCCTTAGAGCCATGCTATCGTTATATACAGAACATCTTGGGCCAGGCGTGTTTCGGTTTCTCGCTCCCGAATTTCACCTTGGATATGTTTTCCGATACTGCGCCTCATGTAACGCGTCCACGTTTTCATGACGCGTCTTCCTTTCTATCGATTCATGTACATTTGGCATCGTTTTGGTCACCTCATTGCACGTTTGACCTGAACAATACTTGTTAGAAGCGGAGTAACTAGGTCGGTAGCACACACTGTTTTTTTCTGGTGATCAATAAAATATCACTATATATTGGTCTGCTTTTAGAGACAAGACTCATTGGACCAACCAAAATCGTCTTCTGTTGAAGAGAATTCACCCTGAAGATGATGTAACACACTTTTCAAAGCATTATTCCTTTCTCATCGGTTCCTATTGCTCCAGAATCGGGTTCTTTTTTCCGCTACGAATGGGTTCTACAAGGCCACCAGTTCGAAGCTAGAGAAGTTTCATCAACACTATCGTCTTCCAGTACCCTGTCTGGTGGAATAGCAGTCGGTACAGAGTAACCTAGTATGTATGGCTTCTAAACGGCGTAATTCACTTCTGGTCCGTCGATCAATACTGACTTGGCGTGAACCAATCGAACTGGCCCAGGCACAGTTCCCCTACTCCGTTGTTCCTGCCGAGACATGTGAGCATTCTCATATCGCACTGATCAATTCGGGTAACCAAAACGACCCGCAGCGGTCGCATAAACTGATTTTTCATTCACCGTTTTTTGACACTCGTTGTTCCTTACAAGAACGAAATCACGTGATCAGGGAAAAGCTTAGCTTCGTGTAAGCGGTTTTCAATGGGGAATCATGAGACTGTAAGCCAACCGCGGTGACTTGATGTCCTACTCTACCCCGACTTACCACGTCATTGCTGAGACGGCGTAAATGACATTTTAACTGTATACGGTTTTTCGGTTGTACTTTCTCCGAAATTGAGTCTTGTGGATGGTTGCAACAGGATAAATCGCTTGTTATTAACGCGTTTGGATCATGGATGTGATAAGCTTCTAGCTGGCAGTCGGTAACTTATAGCGGTCACTCATCCAAATCACGTGACAATTCCTGTCCCACTTGCAACCTGAGCCGACAACATGACAACTTCCCACCTATTTTTGTTTACGCGGCTACCACGTGCGTCACGCACCAGGCTTACGAACTTCAACACATCAGGTCAAGTTGTATTCGTGTTCGTGTAAGCATCCAACAGGAAGGGACACCGCCCTCTTCACACTGCACACAATAAACAAGCATACAACTCGTACAAACACACGCGCACATGACAGGAAGTCAACCGAGTTCCACATGTCTCCACGGCTAACTACGGAACACGTGTTGGAGCTATACTCGTCTGAACTTTCGCATTGCATCTATATTTTTCAGTCTCACATCACTCTCGTTTTGAACAGTCGTCCTCCTGTCCTGGCGCAATTATTCATGTGAATCCACACCAAAGGGGGGGGGGAAGCACTGGACTCGAGTTTCGCTGTTGTTAGAGCTCATCAGCAGTGCATATCCATCACAAAACCATCACATGCATCTATATTTATCAAAGTGCACCTAATTATTATACTCATCATCGTTCTGGTTAGTGCTTGTCACCTGTTACTCAATTGAATTACGTCACGATTATAGCACTAACAAGCTCCAGTAAACTCATTGGCTGTTGAGTCGCAAGCGTTTCGTCAACATACGAGGAATCAGTGCGAGGTGATAATGTTTTCTCATTTGGCGACGAAACGTTTGCAAGTCAGTTGTCAGGCACGGTGAACAGCTTACCAACCACCTAACAAACAACTAGTAATTTTAAACTAGAAGTTGGAAAATTTACAAGTGGTGCGGTCATGATGACTGTTTGTCGACTTGAGTGAGTGACCATCCGCTTCATTGTCACTGCAAGCATGACGCATCGGACTAGGCTAGAGAGGAAAAGTTCCCTTGCACCTATATATTTGTAATATACTACTCATAAAGTTGCTGAAAATCCGTCGACAGCCCACGACTGATTTCGCCCTTCTTGGAGCTCATCAGGTAGCCGCAGTTCCCTGGTTTCCATCAATCATATGGTCTAATTAAAACCAAATTGCACGAAATTAGCGAATATACACTACACTCATTTGCAAACTAATTTGTTTTTTTCGAGAGACTCACCTGGAACCCAGATGAATCTCTCGTTTCTGACGTATCCAGGCAACTGAATGTGCTGTATCAGGCCGCCTCATGTTTCCCTTGCACCTGACTGGGCCGGTTGGGAGCAGTTGCTCCGGAAGGTACCTCAATCGAATATGAGCATGCGCACTTTATTGTCAGAGTAGCTATTGCTACTGTGGAAGAACATTCAGGAGGGGTTCCGACAAATTTATTGGGGCCGACGAAATGTGATCGCTGTGGAGGAATGGTCGCCTCAGAGAGAGAGAGAGAGATTCCGGTACACTTGGTTTGGTGATCTTTTATATCCTTACAATACTAGCTGAAGACTGCATCAGTTCCATCGTCTTTCACTAGTAATCGGATTCCCAGTTGGTTAGATAAAAGGTTTAGGGTCACTTGGAAGGACAAAAAATGACAGGTCGGGGTCATCTGTCCGGAGGCCATCCGCCCCTAACACCCGAACAATACGTCAATAGAACGGGTGTGTCACGTGCGAACTACGGACCAAACGAACGCATGCCGTGACTGGTCAGAATGCCAGCCAATCTGGATCGAGCATCTTTAGCTCGACGCTTCTAGCCCCCTCACTATCTTGTGGAACAATCTGTGATACAGTTGTATGTAATGTTCCTTTGTCTCCACGAAAGGCTGTCTGAAGCAACCGTGCCTTTCGGTACACCATAGTGGGCGGAGCAGTAAGCCAAGGGAGGGTGCAGAGTTGCACGACCATTCAGCAAGCCACAGCATTATTTTGACTTGATCAAACAGCAACATGCGACTCTGAAGCGCTGTCCACATGGAAGACCTCATCAGAAGTCGAGCGGACGTTGGTTCAAGTAAAGAATGGTGATAAAAAGCAGTCTTGTTAATTGGCTATAGTTTGTTTAAACTGGTTGAAAAGCATGGGTTTATCCTTGATGATGGACATCATTCTGATACACATGGGACGTTTGGGACAGCAACTGTCGAGAGGAGTACACTCTTTGAAGAGACCATATTGATTCTCCTATCCATTGATTTAACTATCTCACAGAGCGATTAGCTGAACCAGCGTGAACCCGTGACGGAAAAATTGAAGGTAAGTGCGCAGTTCGTTCCCCATATAAATGACACAGTCAAACAGTTACAAGAGTTGTCTCTACAGTGGACGATATTTGTATCGCCTCATATGACCATTCCCGAAGCAGGCATGCGAACTGGTAACCTGATCTCCTCGAGTATGAATACCATCTAACTGAAACGGTAGCTCACACACCGGAGGTGTACCGACTCAATTTTTTTGTGAATCAGCTGATGCGATCGATCGGTGGTAGTCTGAATTGACACATTCTCAGCAATGTCAACAATGCAGATGGGTTGCTGGTTTCCTCTTGGACTTTGCGGTTACCTTGTTTGCTGGGTGTCTGTTCTGACGGCTAGAGCACCAGCCTGACAAAGTTTGTGCACGTTATTCACTTAACTGCATCGAAGCAGCTATCTTTTTTTCATGGTATCCTAGGCTTGTGCAAACATTCATATTTTTGGACTCGAGACTGATTTGTCGTGGAACGGTCAATAAACAACGCCTGTAAAGATGCTAACCTGATAATCAGTTAGGGAATCAACCGTCGTTATGGTGCGTCCTTGTGTTTTGTGAACCCTTCTGCTTAGACCTTATAAAGAAATGCTTCTCAATGGCTTTTTAATTGTGATATTGACAAGTTGGTCTATGACCATACATTGACTCTTGTGTACAACGTTCATTCGGCTGTAACACCCTTTTGGTGCCTAGCTGCCATGCTACCCGAAGGAAGCACGAGGCTGGGATACTGCCAGGTTGCCCAGGCCTAGACAGAAGTCGAGATGCAGAGCTCGGGTTCGAACCACAGACCTTCCGGTCAGTAACCGGAAGCTTTAACCACTGAGCCATCTCGGCATTTATGTCTGTACATCACACCACAGAAAAGGTACCGCTTTGCATGAAGCGTAACGCAAAAAGAACTATCATGACTTACCCCCTTCTTACAGACTAGTACTGGCAACAGTTTCGAGATAAGTAATACATTCTTTTTCACAGAGATCGACTCTCAAATGAATAAGTCATATAATATACCGAAAAACGAAAGCTCAAATAACAAGATCAACAATAGCGATAATCAAAACAAGTGATCCCAGTAACTTGGGTCGCGCTTGTATGCACCTTCCACACGCTGTGTTCCACCAAGCATTTTGATTGGTCACGAAATTGAACTGTTGTCTTCTGACAGCGCTCTGTCTGAAATGGCGAAATACCCGGAAGTACGTCTGTAAATCATTACGGGCTTTGTATTTGTTTTCGAAACGCGCGTTCCCGCATCGATCGCAGTGGGCGCTTGACCCACGAGTTCCGCAGCATCATGAGTAATGTTTGGGGAGCTGTGTTTTCTATCAAAACTGAAAGGTACACCTTTACGTTTCCAAGCCGACCACCAAGATGGTGCGACAACACAAGGTATGCTCCGGTTCGGCTTATGTGGTCGGTTCATTGTGGCTTCCAGGGGGCTAGGTGAGCCGGATCTGGATGACGCCGAGGGAGCTGTTGTGTGTGTGGTATTCATTGTTAGAGGTATGGTCGGTAAGTCTTTTACACTCCCGGGAGTGCTCATGTTGGATCGGACCGCGTTGAGGTGTTGTAAGTCAAACACATCGGCTTGGGTGGTGTCAATGAAGTCGGCTATACGGAGACTGTCGTCCAGTGGAATTTCTGCGCGAATACGAAGTTAGATGAGGGTATGAAAGAATTCCAGAATTACATCAAGTGGCCAAGGGTTAAATCAATTAGGAAAAGTTTAAAAGCGATCGAGAAGTCGTCGTTTCAGAATGGTCTCGTTGGATTATTTGTTGAACAACGTTTCGCCTTTACCACAAGCCAACTAGCAGTCGGAAACTGTTTGCCGGCCCTTCCCAGGCCGACATTCCCAAGTACCTGCGCTTACCTGATGAGCCCCAAAAAGGGTGAAACAGGTCGTGGGCTGTTGAAGAATTTTCAGCAACCTTGTGAGTAGTTTCCTTTGCCTAGTAAGATCCCTAAGCCCAGAAGTAGTTGGTCGAACAGTAGTCAAAATTGCAGTTAAAAATGGACTTTGACAAAACGAATATCCGAATAGTTTGATTAGACCTCATTTAAGAAGGAAACCAATGGGGAATCGATCGGGACTCCGTATAGACCAGACACATCCGAGGTTATTCGAAAGAACCTAACTACAGCCAGTGTAAGAGGGGCGTTCCTTGCGTTCTTCACTGGTGCACTCGAAGGATCAACTCCGATAGGTAGACCTCGGAACTCCGTTTACAAAACCATATAGGACGACTGCACTTGTGTCTATATAGGGCAGACGGCCGGAGAACTCATATGAGAATCGGTGAGCATAAAAGAGAAACTGAGAGACTACCGAGAAACAAAGATGAATATGGGGCACCATGAAAGACTCAGCAGTGACTGGGCATGGATTCGAAATGGGACAACCTCGAAGTTTTGTTGCGGAAACGGTAGAAATCACCAAGAAACTCAATGTGAACAGAACAAAATGCAAAAAACTAGCTAACATGCGGTTGGTGGTTTTTGGATCATCCAGACTGACATTTGTCGATGAGCGGTATGGAGTAATCAACAAAAGTGGCCCAAGTACAATGTGCATAGCCCGAACCGACCAAATTTTCGAGTAACCTTACCTCTCTTCTGACCATTTGCCAGCCCATACTGGCCGACAAAAAGTTGTGGATGTCACCAGAATGATGTTAGATGCCTCAGTTCATCAATAGCAAGACATGGGCACGTGCTGTGACCTCGTGAGGAAGGCTTAACAGTGACCAAGTCGAAGAGGATCGTGCTGATCGGGTCTTCTTCCACCTTAGGACTCAGCCATTCCGATAATATACTCACTTGGTTCGATAATTCGGATCAAATTTCGGAAAAAAGGAAATCGTTCAGCTCTATTACCCTTTCGGTGCCTAGCTGCCATGCCACACGGAGGAAGCACGAGGGCTGGGATACTGCGAGGTTGCCCAAGCCTAGACAGAGGAAATCGAGAGGCAGAGGTGAAGTTCGAACCACGGACCTTCCGGTCAGTAACTTCGCGCTCTAACCACTTGGCCCATCTCGTCCCATAATTTGTGTTAGATGCAAAACATTATCCATGTATCAATTCACCGCTCTTTCCCAGAATTTTCTTCAAGTGATAGGAAAGTTGGCCTGGATAAAAACCCTAAATCGCTTCGGATCGTTGATCTGACGACTTGATCGGATAAATTATCCGGCTTTGGACTTTTGTTGGCTTACAATACCGTACCACGAGCAGGCTTTGCTTTTTACCTTGGTGCACATCACTCGATGTCACCATGCCTATCAGAGCTTGTTGGGTGACCGTATCTGTCAGTATGATGAACAGTCTGGAATCAGTGTGAATTCGCTTATATAGTTTTGCAATTGATTTCGGTGACGTTTTTCGTTGACAACTCTGTCATTTTAACACCAGAGTTGATTTCGTCCAGTGGGCTCTGTTTTCGTCATTCATCTCCTGGGTCATACCAGCCATACGTCGGCCTTTTATATCTTTCTGTCTGTGGGCTCTTTCACCCAGTTTGGTCTTTGAACCCGAAGCTTCCGACTGAATGCATAAAATGGCTGCTAAATACTTTCGCGACTGGGGCCAGAAGTATTTCGCGGCTGCTCTTGCCGGTTCTCCTACAAGCTAGAAACTGACAATAAGAACGCTACTGATATCGGTTGGCAGCCGTATCTTGTAGTGTCTCCAACCAGGCCTAGTGAGGATCCTGGAAGGCGACTAGCACCGACAGCACCCAAGCGTTTCGTGATATCCTTCATACTCCTCTGGAAAGTCAAGGATTGGCCACCTCTCTGTTTACGCCACTCTGAGTTGGGCATGGAAAACAGCACTCTCTTTGGGAAACGACGGTTCGACATACGCGACACATGTCCCAACCAACACAGCTTCTGGTGCTGGACACATTCTTCAATGGAAGTACCCGTTGCACAACCGGAAACTCGCTTTCTGTCTGCCTCGATACGGATTCGCCGACACCAACCCACACGAGCTATGGTTCTGAGACAACGATTGTCGAATACCTGAAGACGTATCAGTTCCGCTGCTCGAATAGGCCAAGTCTCACGGTCATACAACAAAACCCGTATTGTAGCTTGATACACGTCCCTTCAGATTCAGGGATTAACCACTCTGATGCCATAGGTGCCTCAAGTTAGCAACCGCGGCCCGAGCCTTGCAGATCCGTGCATTCACCTCATCTGTCACACTACAGTCAGAACTAATACAACTTCCAAGATACGTAGAACGCTCCACAACTTCCAGTGCCTCTCCCTGGATCGTAAGTGGCGTGTTCAGTGACTGCACGTCCACAAGCATGACCTTACACTTTGTGGGTGCAAAGTGCATACCAAAGGACGGGATGACTTTGGTCAGTTCATCCAAGAATACTTGCGCCTTTTCCTCCTCTTCGAACATGAGAACGATGTCGTCTGCATATTCCAGATCGACAAGGTTTTCTTCACTGGCTATTTGAACACCAGGGTTTTGGAGACCCTCCAGCGTTCGTCTCATTATTTCATCGATCACAAAGTTAAAAAGGAATGGAGAGAGTGGGCATCCCTGACGGACACCGCTTTGTGTGCGGAAGCTTTTGGAGAGCTCTCCGTACACTCTCACACGTCCGGAAGTCTGAGAATACAATGAACGTATTATGTTTACAAACTTCCGGGGCATTCCTTGGTGGGCAAGCGTCTCAAGCAGAACAGACCGATCAACCGAGTCGAATGCGTCTCGGAAATCCAGGAATACTAGAATCGTGGGTCGCTTATACGTATGGCGTTGTTCTAGTACCTGACGCAGTGTGAAGATTTGGTCAACACAACCCCTACCAGGCCGGAATCCCGCTTGCTGCTCTCGAGTCAGTATCTCACGATCCACTATAAGGCGACGAAGCACGACTGACGCCAACAGTCTCGTTACAACCGGGGGGCAGACTGGTCCCCCTGTGGTTACCACACTCACTACGCGCTCCTTTTTTGAAAATGAGCACTATCACCGATTCTCGCCAGTTGTCTGGGACAGACTCCTCCCCATATGGCAAAGAACCTGAGCTAGAGAAGATCTGATGAAGTCTATCTCTGCACTGGTGAATAGCAAAAACGATGAGGCGTACTGCAGAGGATCGATAGCTGGCGCGAACAAGTTACCGTTACAGTTTGTACATACACTCGCCAAGGACGCAAGCAGTACGATCATCTTCACCACGGTCTCCGCCTCATTCTTACCGGAATCTGTCACACCAGATCTTTCATGAGTTGATCGGTTCCCGTATCTCCTGGATCTTCCCAGGACAGGTCCCCTCACCCGTACACGAGAAACTTTGAAACCGTATGAATCATTGGCCTCGAAAAACTCAGTCAGCTACGAACGGTTGCCTGAAAACTAACTTTAGCCTACTGTTTTCTTGATGAAAACTTGAAAGGGTACCACTCGTTGTTTCGGCTCCCTATGAACGATGAGCACGGCTCCCTGTGGTGTTCCCGCATCGGTAAGAAATGCAAACAGCGAGGTCGATCCATCACACACAGTAGTTGGTGGGCCATGGCCTACTTATACCCCAGGTCAAAGTGCCTCTACGATTTATCTGCAGAACGATTTAGTTGGCTGACGCTACTGATCCAACTTCTAAGATGGTATCGAAATCATAGGATTGCTACTCAAGTGTTTTGCGAATCGAACAGAGTCTATCAGGAAGTATTTCTGAGATTTTTCTTCAACTACCTGGTTTTGTTATGAACAGCACGGTAAACGACAAAAAATCGCGCAGATTTGGTTTGAGCGTTTTCTGGGACCCTCAAGGGCTGAAATATAGGCTAAAAATCATACTAGCAAATCAAAAAATGGAGTGAAGGTAGTTTGGTGCCGGAGAATAGAGTATCCCTGTTTCTGGTTGCTGTTTTGAGCTTCTTGAGCGATGTGTACTTAAGCAGGATCAAGGCACACCCCTGCTTGGCAGTGAATCAGGACTGTCAACCAATATGAATATCCTGTCTGTTGAACTCATGGGCATATCATGTGTCTTTCTGTGAATCCAGTGCTGTTCGGCTCATCTGTGGTTCGATCACGAATCTACCATTCGAATGTGGGGGTTGAAAGACAGATTTCTCGACAGTCAGCTTGGCAATGAACAGCCAAGCTGCCCCTAGCTCGCCAGCTCTTCATGATTAGTACAGACCCAAACACGACTAACTGTTTGCGTCTGCTGGAAGCTGTTTAACAGTATTGTTAGGTTTTTTGGAATACGTCCCACAGAGACCCCGTGGAAACAGTCTGTTCAAAATTGTAATGAACTACTAATAAGTTTACTGAAAATTCGTCGACAGCCCACGAGTGGTTCCGCCCTTCTTGGGGCTCATCAGATAGGCACAGTCCTCGAGTTCCCATCAACCTTATGTTCCACTTGAGACCTAATTGCACGAAATTAGAAACTAATCTGGACTTTTCAAATACCAATCACAACTGTTTCCTTAAGTTTACTTGCATCAAGCACTGTGGCCCAGCAACTAAAGTTACTGATTGTCTATAGGAGATAAGATGAAGCTTGAACCCATCTGCAAGGTCACCTGCTGAAACGTTGTTCATAAAAACGGGAAATCCGGCTAAACAGGCCATTCAGAATCCGCAGTCCCATTGCGCAAGAACCCTAGCGACAGACTATGCCGTCGGAGTCGTGTGCTGGCTATCGATTTTTAATTTTCCCATTACTGTGAAAGAAAAGTTAGTTGTTTCGAAGGACTCAGCAGTGTAAGTGTCCACATTGTGTTGTCTATTACGTATAACGAGACAACAGGTGTTGTAATGCAGACTGCGTTCCGGTAACAGGGCCCTATGGAGTTATGCGGCTAAGAAACTGTTTACCTAGGGTTTGTATGGACGTGTTAACCTTCAAGTGGACTCACCCCTGCCTTCGACGTGAACGAACAAACCGAATTCCTTCGGATCGAAGATCTTCATCCTGAACGCCAAAATATTACCTGTAAACAGAAAAACCTGGTCTCTCATACGTGTGTCCCGAAAATAACTTCCGCAGAAACATACTACTAATGACAATAATAGTAACAACAAACATGTGGTAATTCGGCGGGACATACGGATGATGAATCATAAGCGCAGTGGATTTTCACAGCTAAAACCGCCACGCGCTCAGTCACTGAGTTAGAGATTATTGTGGTGCTTCAATGTGATTGTTCACTGGTATTAAATATTCGAAAAACGCACAGGAAAGCTCAGGAATACGCCTGAAGAGGTCGAATTTCTCAAGCACTGCGCCAGTGAGTCTTTCGCCTGGTTTTGTTTCGTAATGGATAACTCCTAGCTTTCATTAACGGTTTACGAGTGGGGTCCTCAAGGCCTGCATTTTATCATATCACCGGAGAAATACACTTTCAAGCACTGGGAAGTATTCACCTATCACCTTTACGCAGTGGGCAATCCATTTAGCAGTAAAAAAGGCCAGGTTGTCCCCTTCAGATAATTTCTGTTTTAGCAGGTCAAGTCTCTCCGTTTGATTGATGACATCCAGCTTAGTCTTGCGTATGGTGACAAAGAGTGCAGGAAACGCGGCATGTGTTCCAACGGGGCTTGCAACCTGTCACATTCTGCATAGGAAATAATGTTAACGATTTTAGACTCTCAAGCACATTATGTCACCTGATGAGACCCCCTCCATAAGTTAGCAAAAATTTGCTGTAAGGAACATATACCCTTTGACTATTGACAATTTTTCTTCGAATGATTTCAACATAGTATAATCATCATTTGATGACAAGTAGGCTGGATTTTTTCGCATTGGCTATAAGGAAGGTGTTCACGTGACCTGAGGAACGGAGTTAAAGAGTCCAGTGGAAATGTCCTTTGACTTGATACTCTTAATCTATATATTCATGCATGAAGACTATGCACAGTATACCATTTTAAGAGTACACTTATTGTCCAACCTCCGTAACGCTCTCATCAATCGTTCACTTCGTCAGTGATATTGAAATATCGCTCTTTCACCCAACCAAATTGTGTTTCGGATGAACGTCTTGTTCGAATTGACCTTCAGCAAACTAGAGGGGATGACAACTCCTCAAGGGCATTACTGATCAAGATGTGGCTGACGGAGCATGATGTGGTGAGGATGTTGACTTTTCTTCCGAAGGGGAGATGGCTGATGATTGGTCCTTCTTCAAGGACAATCCCGCAACGCGTTGACCAATGACCACGCGATGCCTTTTTTCTATTTCTCGACTAACGCTCAGCACAGTAAATACACACGAGGGTTTTCGAACACATTCATCACTCACATAGTTCACTTGCTGTCAGACTTGGTCGTACAGGGTAGAATTGGCTACGCATTTGGTTGGTCTTTTCGTCCATTACAAGAACACGAACAAGCGGCTGTTCACGAGCAGATCCGGCAGTTGTGGAAAAACCCGAGCCCGAAACACTTGGTGCCCAAGGTCGCCATCGGGCAGACAAGTGTTCCACATCTCCCGATCGAACTGTCACAGCCTGTTCTGTTTCTATACCGTAGCTTCTCACCGACTGTTTGGACGCCGCACGTTGTAACGTGTTGGCTGGGATTTTGGAGACGAATTCGAATTTCGACCCGGTAACTGGAGAGCCGGATTGTGACTCGACAGGACTGGCTCCTGGGTGTTGGACCGTTGTCACTGTTTTTCGCCGGCTCGGAGGGATAATTCTTCTCTTCATCGACTTGAAGTGATCCGGATGTTGCATCGAGACTGGCGGTGGTGGTAACATCGCACACTGTTGGAAATCCGAGGTGAAACCACCGTTTGGCGTAGCACTGACGTTGGGCTAATGGAACAAAACAAAGGATCATCAAGCATGACATATGCGGGCGTCGCTTGAGTTTAAATGCATGACAGCAAAATTGCGTGATTGTTAATGACTTGTTGGGGGATCACTCTGATATGGGTACCAGCACAATTAATTTGCCCTGATATGACGGGCATTGTCTCTTAAAAATGTCTATGCTATGCAGCACATTCAGTTGTCTGGAAACATCACAAACGAGAGATTCAGCTGGATTCCCGGTGAGTCTCTCGAAAAACCGAGTTAGTTTGCAAATGAATTGCTAATTTCGTGCAATTCGGTTTCAAGTAGAACATGAGGTTGACGGAAACTCGGAGACTGTGCCTACCTGATGAGCCCCAAGAAGGGCGAAACCGGTCGTGGTTTGTCGAGGAGTTTTCAGCAACCTTATGAGTAGTGCACTACAAATATCTATGCTACACTATTTCAACCAACAGAGCAACAATCATAGAGCTCAGGTGAATCAATGTGTCCAGGCAGTCTCTCAGTTTAAAAAAAATCGACAATCAGCTGCATTCAAAATCCCACATGAAACCATGATAAAGCCAATAATGCCACGGAAAAAACGAAAAAAGCGTCAAGGCTCACCGTTCTTGGACTTTCCATATCACTGGAAACCAAATGTTCTACCGAACTACCACGTTGCAGGTCTGGATGTGTTGTCGAACGACTCCAAACCCAGTAGAGAGTTCCAAACAAGTCGTTCAAACTGCATTGATCTATGGCTTGGTTACTAAGCTGTGACTTGGTCAACAAGCCATCAAGGTAGTCAGCCTGAAGAGCTGCGGGACAAAATGCCGCTTTGGTGGGACACGAGTGATCAGAATTGATCGGATCGGGAATCAGAGGGGCCAGGAGTAGTCCAGCTCTGGCCAGTGTCCACGCGTAGATTGGATGATAGTCTGAAGGCGGAAACCCGAAGAAGTTGGGGTCAGTAGTTTAGGGAAACAAATATGAAAAACTTTAGTGCAAAGTATGATACGAACCACCTATTCAGCTGGGACTTAGTTATCTCCCGTTTGGAGCAATGAAACTAGTAAGCTAGCGTGTATCGTCAGTTTGATGGTACAATTTGTTGTTTAACTGGTGGTAAACTCTCAGTATTTTCAGTAACCCTAAAAGAAGTGTAGTGCTATGTCGAAAAATAATTCTGAAGATATCGACACTTACGTTCATTTGCAAATCAATTTGGTTTTCACGGGACACTCAACTGAATCCCTCGTTTATCATCTTCTCCAAATGAACGTTCTGCACAAAGGCCGTCTCATGTTTCACTTGTATATTTCCATAAGGGTAGCTACTCACACTCAGCTACAGAAGCTAGTACAGTCATCCATTCCCTGTAGTGCAGTTCAACTGTTTAACTCATTCTACCCTCAACGTAGTTGCACCATTCGCGCAAAGGACTCAAGCAGTACTTCAGTCAACGATAGTAAATTTTGTTATTGCTACTGCTGAAATCAGTTGCCCAGTCTTCCTCACATCTGTGGATGTTTCTGTCTTAAAGCATGCGAAAAATTCGAACATAATTAAAGGTAACCTTGCCTTTTGATCTGTCTATATCCAGACTCTCACGTGAAAGCACAGAGGTACGTTTACACTCATTCCAAGTTGATCTTGCCAGCACACAATATTGGGTTTCTCCGTCAGTTTTAGACACAATTGCTCGCGACGTGAAGATAAGGCACTGACCAGTCTGAAAATACGTACACATCAACACTAGAGTTTTCTAAAACGTTTCTAAATGGAAAAGTTAGAATCCCATCTTGTTAACTGGAATTCAGTTTAACGGCAGCGGTGGCCTTCTGGAAACTACGAGGAGAATACAACGCGTGACGGTATCTTACGAATACACCTAAATATGCAATACGAACCACTAATGATAGTTCTATCTGGAAGGTCAGATTTCTGAAAGTAACCTCAGATCGCTCGGAATCTACTGAAACCCTAAAAATCCACCGAAGCCTCAATAGGAAAGCCGGCAAAAATACAGGTCAGTCAATCATTCAATCGATTTAACAAAAGCAAACATACAGGTCAGTCAATCGTTCAATCGATTTAACAAAAACCGATGAGTATTCAGGCACGCTACAGAAGCGCGACCGAATGTGGTCAGCATTCAGGCATTTCATGTAAGCACGATCGATGTTGATGGGTGTTCACTAAACGCCTGCCAGACAGTCAAAAAGTGCTCTTTAAATAGCGCGGGGGCTTTGTAACTTTTGCACGCGCACGCAATCGATTGTTTCAATAAAGCTCTTGTGTTCCCTTGTCGGTGAGTTCTTTTTCTGGCATCAGCCACTGAAGTGGGAGCATTAGTCAGGTATAACAGGTTGGCGACTCAGTCAGACGTGGCACCCTCAGACAACAAGTTCTGTATTTGAAAAGATTAACCCAAGTTTCGAAGAGACAACCGAAACAAAGATGTTTCAAGTTCAGTCGAATGTACGCACTTGGAGACGAATGAAAAGTCTCAGGAAAAGCGGTCATTTGACCGTCTTAACCAATCAGATTCGAAGATTCCTAGATTACAAGGTCTGTATTGGAAGCCTTTCACTTAGACCAATTCCTGACCAATATGGCTTCCTGTATCACGCCTGAGCGAAGCACAGAGCCAGCTTTTTTAAATCAGTGCATGAAAATATTCGCTCTGTCAATCTGCACGACATATCTGCATCCGTAGAAAAAAAGGATCGGAATGTGAATACTGGGACTCCGTAAACCAAAACTGCATTTCTGGGAATGACACGTACTACTTAAAGGTTTCTTAACCACCGGCTTCAAGCAACTTCCACTGTAACTGGCAAATTATACAAGCGGGGTTACGATTGGGTCAACCTCAATGCCTTTAATTGATTACATATTTGTGTCATCCACAAAATCAAAATTTGCTATCAGACACCTGGGAATGTGAACTGAGTAATCGTTTAGTCTCCATCTGGCCCGAATGTTCGGGACAAATTTGATTCGACACATTTAGTAATTCGGTCTACACTAGAAGTTCCATCGCACCTGCGCGCCCCTATCAGAATACAAGAACAGTCTTTATTGCTAGAGTTTGATATGGTTCAGACTCGTGAAATCCACAGACGATCGATAGGTGGCTCACACGAAGAATATTTTCACAAGGAGAGTTAAACTTCCACATGAGAAATCGTCACTTGAGGAGCTAGACAACATGTGGCCTAGATTTTGTGATTGGAGGGAGAGTTGCGCTATGTCCTCTCGAAGTGCGAGTTAATCGCAGCCATTCCTGACCAAGCGGTCAATTGTTCAATCAACTAGCCTTGAGTTAGCGGGTGTTGATCAGCCATTCCTGGCCAAGCGGCCAACTGTTCAATCAACTAGCCTTGAGTTAGCGGGTTCGAATCAACCTGAATTTTCCTCAAATCCGCACTGCTGATGACTCCCACGAACGACGAAACAGCTGTACAGTGAATCTGGACGTTTCAACCAACATAAGGTTGACGAAAACTTGGGGAGTGCGCCTACCTGATGAGCCCGAAGTGGAAGGGTGAAACCGGTTGTGGGCTGTGGAGGGGTTTTCAGCAACCTTATGAGTAGTACATTACAAAGATATACATGTATCGCGATATTTCAAATATCGTAGCGACTGAAACATGAGGCGGCCTGGTGCAGCACATTCAGTTGCCTGGAAGCATCTCAAACGAGAAATTCAGCTGGGTTCCGGGTGAGTCACTCGAAAGAACCAAATTAGTTTGCAAATGAGTGTCTATTCGCCAAACTGCCTTCACTCATGTGATGAAATCTCGAATGAAAATCACGGAGCATTCGAATCGAATCACTGAATCGTCCTTTGACACGTTTCCTACATGCCAGCAGCGGAAGAGTGGGAGACGAAATAACACGGAGAGAACGTTTTCTGATTGCTTGCATGCGTAAATCCAACACAACCATTATCGAAACTTGGTCGGAAAACGCGGTGGCCCTCTGTTTCTGTTTTTGGAGTTTACGGTTAAGTTTCGGTCCCAAATTGGGGTCCATCCTGCTAAACGAAACCAAACAGCTGTTCTGATTTGTTGTTGGTTGATTGGCCTCGGTAACTACTTCACCCAGACCACCTGTGGGTCATCCAATTAGGTGAACAAACGATATGGGCACTTAGGGAAAATAGGTTGCTTCTAGGCACGGCAAAACAAGCAATTGACGGGTTCAAACCGCAACATACCTTCTGAGGACAGCTGTATGTTATGTGTGGAAATTCGAGAGTTTACCTGCAAAGGAAAACAGAGAGAGGGGGTAAAGAAACTACAGAAACAAAAAGAGTAACACTAAGTACACCTGTTTTGCAGTCCAACAATCGAGTCGGATTGTGGATACATCGAAAAAAGCACACCAGAGAAGCATTCGTTTCTCTCTCAGAAGTGAATGAGAAAGAACTCGGCTCATTTCTTCAAGTGTGTCAGCAAGAGCGGTGCGAAAACTAACATTCCGGGTGTTATGAATGGTGTTTTTGTTTTGTTTTTTGTTGCTCTTGTTCACACTAACTGAGCCCTATTCAGTCGCCAAAGTGCTCTTATGGATGTGCACGTAACCGCGTTTCGATGCCCGTGTAGTACGCAGTTTGTTTGGTGTTTCACTGACCACATCAACCAACGATGTTGGTGCCGATGATGTAATTCGTTCCCGGAAGGCGGGCTTGATTTACCGCGTACACAATTGCACACCACCGCTCAATGACCGCGTGTGTTCATCATACATCACACCAACCACAATGCGGAATCGGTGCCAAATCGGTGTGGGGGGGGGGGGGGGGAAGGGGGGGGGGGGGAGAGAAAACCGAGTTTCCCTCATCCAGTTCGAAGTTTGGAAACTTTTCCAAGTGGAACTGAAGTGAACCAGACTGTGGGGTTCGTGAATTTCGGTTGAATGCTACGAGCAGAATAGCACTCACAGTGACAAACAATCAGGATTGGTTAATGAATGACCACCGGACCAGGACTGTTGACTAGCTTTGTCATAACTGAACCCAGCTGTCCATGGCTATCAGATGGTATTCTTCATAAGAACGAGATTCCAAAAGCCATATCTGCTAGTCCCACCGAAATCAACAGTAAGCCTAAGGATTCTAAAGCAACAGACTGTTAGAACAAGTCATCTTATCCGAAATTAGACGGGTCAATGGCTTACTTCGTCGCGAATCAACCTGAAGATTTCACTCAAATGGGACATCTTGCGGGACACGGCATAGTGACTCTCCATTTGGTGGAATAGTTCATTCACTCGCTGAACAGTTGAGTCAGTTGGACTTGGGACTAATTTCTGAAAAGTAGAACCCAAAATAACACAGAGACAGAATGGTCACTTCGCCGTCTCACCTTGCTTCTAGAGAGAGGATACAGGCAAAACAAAGGATGTTTAACGAATATACACTCATCTGCAAACCAATTTGGTTCTTTCGAGAGACTCACCTGGAACCCAGCTGAATCTCTCGTTTATGATGTTCTCAGGATTTTCAGCAACCTTATGAGTAGTACACTACAAATATAAAGGATGTTTAGTTTACTGATGTCAGGAAACTTACTCCTAAGGTTTTTGGACAAGAAAGTGTTTTCCAAATGCAACTAAGAAAAACACACATTGAGTCTCTCGTGAAAACCAAATTGATTTACAAAAATGTGTATTTCTCGGAAACAGTCCGATTTGGGTTCAAGTAGAACATAAGGTTGATGGAAACTCGGGGACTGCGCGCCTACCTGATGAGCGCTAATAAGGGCGAGACCAGCCGTGGGCTGTCGAAGAGTTTTCAGCAACATTGTGGGTGGTTTCCTTTATGGAAAAACAGACTGGTTTGCAAACCAGTTGTATGTGAACCAAAGACTCAACGTACTCTCAACTGGATCCCTTTTTTACGACATCAATCAAGTGAATGCGGTGCCCAAAAGGCGTTCCAAATCCCCGATGGAAGGATATTCGAGATCGTGTAAAATAATCAATAAATTGAGAGCACTACTCATAAGGTTGTTGGTCGCTTTAGCGCTTCTTTGGTCTCGTCAGTTAAACGCATCCGCGACTTCCTGACAATCCTGCGTTCTACACTCAGTCTGTTGTTGAAGTAGAACATAAGGTTGGTGCCGTGGACTACCGAAGGGATTTCAGCAACCTTCAACAACCAAATTTTCTGATTAAGTAACCTCCTGGACTAGCAACCCCTGTTGGAATTCAAAACGTTTGACCACGCGTAATCTCTAAACTTATCGCCCATTCGAGGTTTCATTCATGAAATCAGATTTCCAGATGCTATCGTGCTAAATTGCAATAGCACGGTTTTATTTACTCAAAGAGGGATTTTCAGTGGTAGAAAAGACCTACTTTGACGTGGAGCGAGACAATTCCACAAAATGTGTAAAGTTCTCGGAGACCGCACAAACGTTTTCGAGGAATTCGATCGCAGCAAAATCCCAATATGGGTTCAGAGCACGTGATAATATCTCGTTATAGAGTCACCATCAAGTTCGTCGAACAGACCAACTACCATCTGATCAAGCAACGACAATCGAATCTTGGAATAGAGATTTTGCCCTGCAAGTGAAGCCAGTCCAAGAACCGCTGTTTTATCTTAATTCGGAGTTCGCGAATCGGCTGGTTCGAAATTTCGTGAAATATGCACTGTTGATGATCCCCATTGGGGATAAAACAGCTGTAGGATGTTTCCCGGCTTTGTAGACTCGATCAGTTCCCCTTAAAGGAGGAAGTCTCAGTGAGGATTTTTACCACATCTCACCCAACCAAATCAGCTGTTTTATTGTGTGCTTTCGGATGTCCAAAATGATTGACGCCAATCTGTTCTGCCAGTGTATGTGTCATTGAAACGGTAGACGAATCAACAGACTAAAAGTAAGGCGGAAGGACTGGGACAAACGATGTGCTCGGTTGTGGAGCGAAAGTGTTCCAGTACAGGAGGGTAAATTTGACCTTGTGCTTGAGCTGAACGGCTACTTGGTCCCCGTCTTTTCTGCTCAATGAACCGTAGGACAAGGTTGTTTTGAAGTAATTTGATTTCCAATGAACCTTGGGGTTTGTTGTAAAATCAAGATGGACTTGTGAGGCCACACAGTTAAACGATGGAATGTAATGTGCATCTTTGGAAATCTCCGCAACCCGAATGGTACTCAGTTAAAATGAAGGGCTGTTTAGGGGGCAGTAAACCTGATGCGATCCAGCTCACACAAATGACCAGTGGAGATCCTATCTGGTTCTGATGTTGCGGTCACCAGACTGCCTTTTTCTTGGCCGGATAGTGTCATGCGGTGTTCGGCAGAGCGAACTGGTCGGCAGGAAATGATGCCTGCCGGTTGCTCCCAATGGCGCATACACGTAAAAAAAAACCCTGCTAATTATAAAGACTACTATCCCTCTAATTTGAGGGATGAACGCAAACAATGGATATTTTGTCATTCAGTACTCAAGCAGTCTGATGGTGCCCGTTAGCCGCACAATGCTCTCAGCTGCAAAACTTTCACAGGTGGAGTAAAACTCAATACGCGCCAAAATGTTGCATTTTGTTGGGTATGTGCTCAAACCAAAAAGCTTCCCAATCTACGCTCATATTTCTCCAGAAACTCAATAGCGCCAAAAAGGTTCATTTTGTTGGGTATGTGCTCAAACCAAAAAGCTTCCCAATCTACGCTCATATTTCTCCAGCTCACCAAATTTCACTGTTCACTGAAGCAACCATGACTCTATCTGAATAGTCTTGTGGAATAATTTCTCAGCATTGCTAAGACCTCAAGATGTCTAAATTGGGCTTAAAAGTTTAGACTGGTACTCCCAACCCACTTGCCCGATTGCTTTAGTCCATCAGGGACACGGAATACCTTTCGAAATTTCAATGTGCGAATACTGAGCGCCCAGTCTGATTGGCTCCCAACCCACTTGTCCGATTGCTTTAGTCCATCAGGGAAACGGAATACCTTTCGAAATTTCAGTGTGCGAATACTGAGCGCCCAGTCTGATTGCTTCTTCAGTTTGACCCAGATATCCCGCTTTACAAAGACAATTTTGTGTGACAACAACCGAGCCGAAATTCGACTAGGGGCCACCATAAGGTTGACTCTGATCGACTGACCTTGGTCCCAAGTGTCAGGTGACTTGCGATGGACCAGTTAACGGTCGATATTCGACTAGTTCCACTGCTAAAAAGTCCTGTCGTGACAAACAAGCGCCGAACCTGTTCAACTCTTGTTTTAATGATCAGACAGCAACGGACAAATCTCACCAACAATATTAAGCATGAATGGTTTGTGGTTTGTATTACAAGCGCGAGAAACGCTACAAAACCCACTCAGGCTGAGCTGTTAACTAACAAAATCGTGTAACTAATGAAGTCTACTGGAGGAAGGAGATGGGAAAGCGCTGACTTCCATGTGAGAGAAGAATACTGTGCCATTCAGGCGTGGGTAGCTGACGACAGCTCTGGGCATCTCTCCTCTGGGATGATCCTTCGGAAACGTAAGTTTCTTAGGTCAGAGATCCAGGAAATGGTACGACTGAGACCAAAGAGACTTCGATGAATTTCCTATGGTTCTCATCTCGGTTGATGCACTTCTCGTGCCAAAACGGTGTTAAAAGCCATTACATTAGGTTTTGCGTGAAGACAATCTATAGAAGCCAGCCATGCGCGTAAAAGAACCTCAGATGTGAAAAGTAACTTGTTCTTGTCGTGGACAAGATATTCCTGAACTCACAGAGACACCGTAAGACGGAGGTAGAGAGTCGCTGGGTGAACAGCGTGCCAAATGAATTTTAGCCCGAACCGACTCGAGTTCATTGTGCCTGTGAAGTGAAACAGAGAGAAAAAGATGAAGAAAGCAAAACTTTTGTCATCTTATAAGCCAAGAATGTTCTGCTGGTCTCGAAAAATTGTTATAAAGCGTCTTATTGTGCCTGTGAAACAGAGAGAAAAAGATGAAGAAAGCAAAACTTTTGTCATCTTATAAGCCAAGAATGTTCTGCTGGTCTCGAAAAATAAAATTG